AACACACACACACACACATTCACTCACTCACACACACAAGCACACAGATACACAGACAGATACACACACACACACACACAGATACACACACACACACACAATTGTTGCCGTAGCTTTAAGAGAACTTCAGATCTTCAGACACCTTTCTGCTGAGAGAGAGAGAAGCTGTCTGAATGTGCAGCGTTGTTTTTTGTGTAGTTTAGTCAGTGTGCACGAGTTTACCTGGAATATCTGTTGGTCAAAAACTACAAATGACCATCAGGCTTATAGGTGTGTTGACGCAGTAACAAACGAGTATCGATATTGTTTATTTTTACTACAATCAAATCTACGTTTACATTTCTGATATTGTTACAAACCTTTATGTATTTTTGACGTGTGTGTGTGTAGGTGTACCGCAGTGTGTTGCTGCGTCACACTAACAGAGAGCAGGTGACGGACGAGAACATGGAGGTGGATCCTGTTTCAGGAGGAGAATGTAAGAACACACAAATACAGACACACACACAGGAAGTTTTGTGTTTTTTTATGAAGGATCCCTCTCAGTTACCCTGAGATAATCTTTAGTGAGTGTTTCAGAGTCGACGACTTTAAGGAGAGAAAAGTTTAGAAAGGCTGCAGCGGTGAAACACGCCAACATCAGTCAGTCACTAAAATACTGAACTCCTCACGGCCTGGACTCTGAATGTACACACATCCTCTCGGCGGGATAGAAACACACACTTAACATCAGAAAGGCTCTGATTTCACTAAGTAAGCTGCTCCGCGGCACCGTCCCTTTGTTAGAGCTGAAGATGTAAAGACGATCATTTCATGTCGGATATGACAGCGTTCACCTCAGAGCTGGTAAACGCTGTCTTCACTGAGGCAGCGAGCGGAGCGACAAGGATGATGGTCTCTGTAGTTCCCGCTGGCCTCTGCTCTGCTCCTCTGCAGCTGAAACAAAACGACACTACCCTTGATTCCTACGTCACAGGTCCACATCTGGACACTTCTGTTGGATTGATTCGTTACATCCTGAATAATGAAAGAATATCCTAATTTATTTTATATCTATGAAGCGTTTCTTAAAGAGCCCATATTCTGCCCTTTTTGGGTTTCGTATATTTAATCTATGTACCTACTTTTGTACGTTCACAATAGCTAAAGTCTAAAAAAAAGTGTCTGTTTTCATGTACTGCTCCTCCTTGCTCCCTCTACACTCTGAGTCCGTCAGCTACACTCTGTTGAGCCCACACTGTTAGACCCCACGTGTGCCAAGTCTGCTCTGATTGGTCTGCCGATCCGCTCTGTCGTTATTGGTCAGTTGCTCAGCACGCTTCTCGGAAATTTCAACATGAGCTGCAGGGCTTGCCACAACGAGCCAATGGGCTTAGATCAGTGATCTCACACTGACTATGACGTCGCACTGACAAATTTTTATCGAGTGAGGCTAGAACCGAGCGTTACATGCAGCTAATGCTACAGCTAACAGGAAGAGGTAGGAGAAGCCATGTTTCCGTGGACACTTGGAAAACACACTAAAGGGCATATAAAACCAGAAAAAGCATAATATGGGACCTGTAATCTGCATAGCAACACAAGACGAGGAGAAGAAGGTTAAAAACACCTTTCTTTACATGATCGATCTGTGTGTCTCCTCAGCTGCAGAGAAAACCAATCAGGCTCCAGGAGAGGAGAACTCTGACCAATCAGGGGAGGAGGAGCGCGGTGACCTCATCCAGTTCTACAACAATGTCTTCGTGCTGAAGATGAAGAGCTTTGCGCTGAGATACGCCTCCCACGACAACCGGGTATGAACGCGTCCCAGTGTGACGATGACACAGGTTTATTATAAATATAAATGCATGTAGTAACGGAGGCGTGTGTGTTTCCTCCTGCAGGCCGACGCCCCTCCTCTCTCTCCGTTCCCGTCGGTGCGTGCTCAGCCTCTCTCACCTCGTCGTGTTTCTCAGAGACACTCGCTTTACGTGTCTCCTCACAAGAACGCTGCAGGCTGCCTCACCCCAAACTCGTTCACCTACAGGATCAACAGCAGCCCATCCAAGGTATACACACACACACACACACACACACACACACACACACACACACACACTATGGCGTGCGGAATGGTTCATCACATGCACGCGAACACACACACACACACACACACACACACTGGGACTTTTATGAAATAATCACACATACGTGCGTATGTCCGGCTTGCATGTGATGAACCATTCTGCGCGCCATACACACACAAACATTCATACACACACACATGCAAACACACTCACTCACACACACGTGTTATGCACTAACAATATAAAATAGTATTTTTACTCGATTCATCTGAGTGTAATATTTCCTCTGTCTCCGTCCAGGAGTTATCGGACATCAACCGGATGATCCGTCAGGGCTCTGTCAGCAGGAAGAGGGCGTTCACCATGGAGGGTGACGTGATGATGTCATCAGCCTGTGACTCCCCCAGCAAGAGGGCGTGTCCGGAGAATGGCAGCAGTCCAGACGTGCTGCTGAAGCGTCTGCAGGACGTCGTGTCAGAGCGTCAGAGTCACTGACGGACAGCGTGCAGACAGGAAGTGTTTTAATCCTTTATTTTAGATATTTATGACCTCATCGTTAATCCACCTGTGCACGCCACGAAAGAATGTTGATTCGTTTGACTCCTAGTGTCATCACAAATTCTAAATACAGACGTTGAAGCCATAAATAATATCAAAACTGATATTTGAGCCTCAGTAGGATCCAAATCAATCACGCCATTATCTGTTAGCGTTTTATAGTCTCTGTGCAGCTGACTTCTGTGACATAAGACGAGTTTACAGCGTGTACCTGAAGAAGAGCGGAGGACACCTGATCACACCTGAACACACCTGATCACACCTGTACTCACCTGATAACACCTAAACACGCCCAGGACGATACAGAGAGATATCATTCACACACTTCTGCTGCTCGATGACGGCAAGCGCAGGCTCATTTCAGACCGTGTATTTAGAAGTTCAACATTAAGGCTAAAACATCCCATAATGCATCACTCTCTGTAGGAGCACATGTGACGGTGGTATGCATCAGAGAAATGCGTAAATGTCCTTTTAATTCAAACAAATATCTTCTATTGAGTCCAGAGTGACACACACTAACCTCCGTCAGTACATTTTCATCTTCAGACGTGTTTATGGCGTTACAGCAGAGTTCAGGTTTCCATGACAACAGTGGAGAAACACCAGAATCAAGAGACTCTTTGTGAAAACATTTAAACCCTGAGAGGTTAAAGGTCACAGTCTTTAGGTCAGATTAAGTGTATGAATCATTTAGAATTATTGAACTCTGACCTTTTGTACACAGTTTCCATGGCGATGAGTGGCACACTGATGCATTGAACTCGTCTCCTCTCTTTGTAAGATTTTACTGCTGCCTACTTTAACTCTTTTATTACTTTTACTCCTTCCTTTAATCATTCGTCTTCGTGCACGTGAGCGTTGTGGTGATGTATATTTCTGAAATAAGAAGCTAAATGCTAAAGCTAACAATCCGAGGGCGTCATTAAGGCAGTGTTTGTGTACCAGCTGTGTGTAGTATCTACACAAGGAACCCGTCATGTTCATGTTCACACCAGGATTAAATAAAAGAACACCAGCAAACAAGACGTTTAAACAAACAACTTTTTGTAAAAAGAAAATAAAATCGTAGAAAATAAAATATTGGAGAATTCACGAAGCAGGGATCGTGTTTCACTCCTCTCTGTGATTTTGTGCTTTTCACGTACATTTGTATTTTCTACAAAGAATTTGTAAATAAAATGTACTCAAAGGAGCTGTGTCTATTTATCTGACTTCTTACTTCATCATGTCTGCATGTTTTCCGCTTGGATTTAGAAGGTAGGCGGTTTTAAGTCACCCCGACACGGCCATTTTGGACGCCCCTCGGTTTGCCAGATATGAGAGCAGTTATCAGGTCAAACCAACAGGTGTTGCAGCGATGGAAGTGGGCATGAGAACTGGTTCAGATTGAAGTGATTGTACCTGACCTAAAAAGCCTCTGCATGTTTCTAATAAGCTCCACGAGCAGAAAGGTGCTCAAACTAGGTTCAATATTGGAGATGCTTTTGAAAAATTGACAGAGGTTAGAACACAGAAAGGTTTACAGACGATGCAGAGCTGGATAAACACTGAAGCTTCAGAGTCCAACACATGGCAACCTGTGTGAGCATCAACTCTAGAGAGGAGGGGGCGAGGGGAGACAGCTCTGTACAATGTTTAGAATCTGGACTGCAGTACCCATGATAAACACTAGGGGTCAGAGTTACTCCTCCTTTAATGCTTCAACTGAATATATTTAAAATAATTTAACCACCACACCGGTGCCTGCCTTTAAGAGGCAGAACCAGACCTGACTGGTAGATCATTGTACCTCACATTCTGGGAGTGTAATGTTCTGGATGATATTGGGCAGCAGTAGCTCAGTCTGTAGGGACTTGGGTTGGGAACCACAGGGTCGCCAGCTCAAGTCCCAATGCAGACCAAATATGGAAGTTGGTCTGGTAGCTGGAGAGGTGCCAGATTGCTTCCTTGCTTCCTGGTGCTCAAGGGCACCAGTAAGTGAGCAAGGCACCAAATCCCCCATCCACCACCAGCTCAGGCGGCTCTGTCACCCTGAGATCTCTTCATTAGTGCATGTCCATAGGATCCTGTTCGTGCATGTGTGTATATTTCAGCCTATGTGTGTCTTGCATGACTTACAGAGTGTAAAAACAGAATTTCCCCTTGTGGGGGTAAATCTTAATCTTAATATACAAGATACCTGTGCTCAAAGCTCAAATTTTTAAGATCTACGTAAAACAGAGGGTCAACATTAAACATCACCCATTAGACAGTTCTCTTATCACATATAGACACAGAAGCACACAAAGTAGGCGTACACCTGTGTGTGTAAGTTTGTGAATGACAGAGAGGGAGGAGAAAGTGATCAGTCATTAACCTGAGAGCGTTTATTAAGTCTGATGAGGAAGCTACAGGTGAAAACACTGTCAGCTCACCTGAACGACCTCCTGATCAGTAACTATCACACCTGGACCAACTATCACAACTTGATCAGTTTTCTCATCCTGGATCGATAAATCACACCTGGACCATGTCTTCATCAGTGCCAGCTTCAGCAGGTGGAGTGCAGGTGGTCACTCTGGAGGACTCTCAGCAGGTGAACGTGATGCAGACCTTCAGCCGGATGAGTCCGCTCACTCTTGGGGTGAGTGTAAGACCGCTCAGGTGAGTTAAATTAAACAGGTAATTTAGTTTATAATGTGTGTGTGTGTTTTTGCAGGTGGTTCAGATCATGATCGGCATGATGGTGATTTTGTTTGGGATCCCCATGGCAATGGATGGATTTCCCCTGCTAGTGGTGTATAGCGGTACCTTTGTGTGGGGAGCGTTGCTCGTGAGTCTTTAACGTGAATTTAATTTATTTAAAGTTTGATTTTAACCACACAGTGATATACGTTTACAAGATGATGATCTCAGTGGACACTCTTATGTCGGGCATCATAAAGAATAATATCAACAGTTTTAACTTAAACATTAAAAAAAAAGTTTTAAAGGAAGATTTAACGTCCATGTTTTACAATTCATTTGTTTCTGTCTCAGTATATCATAACTGGCTCCATCACAGTGGCTGTTTGGAAATTTTCCAGCATCTATCTGGTGAGTAACTTTGTATTTATCCACTCTGTCAGAACTTTTTCACGTTTTCATGTTTTTGTGGGACGACGTGTCTTCTGTCCTTTGTCATGTCCTCTGTCCTCTTCTAGGTGAAAACTGCTTTGTCCTTGAACATATCTTCTGCTATAACTTCATTTATAATGGCCGTCCTTCTGTCTGTCGACGCTTCACGGACATCGGTTTGTATAAAAACATAAAACATGACTTTTATTACTTGTAAAACATGATTGACTCTAAAGAAGTATAAAACACAGTTATAGATTAACAATCATGAACCACAATAATCATTGCAATCTAATAAAGCAGATACAGATCTTCAGCTGTTCGTATTCTCCAGGTGTGATCCTGTCAGGTTCATGGGCACCACTTTGCAAATGAGTCAAAAAGACACCATGAAATGGTGAAAACACTCAAAGGGTTGAATGTTCCCCTTACTGCACTGCAGAGTGAACACAGGCGGTTTTCTAAACCTCCCACTATCCTAGTAGTCCGTCCGTATGAGAACAAATGTGAGATCCTCAGTGTGACAAAAATACCTGGATGTCGTACTGATTCTGGAGAAATCTTCAGTCTGCATCAGAACAGTCTCTGAATCATAAAAATGTAAATGATTCTCTTGTCAGCTTTTTTCAGACTGTATTTGAACGCTACGCTGTGGCGGCATTTGACGTCAGCTGGGCTGTTGTTTACTTCTTCATTCCAAGACTAAAAAACAGCTTTGCCGGTCCTGGTGTAGAATAACCACATCTGGAGGTCAGTCTACAGACTACTGTCCAACGCAGTATGTAGTACATACGGCATGCTACATTAGATAGTATTTTGTAGTAGGCGGATTTGAAAAAAAGTCACTGAATACAAATACTGCTTGTGGCCCCACCCCACTGCAAACTACACCCACGATTCTGGCATTAAACTTTTACTGGGCAGTTAGCATCAGATCAGGTCATACAAGAAACGAGAACACCCTCTGCACAGATTTTAAAAGCCAGCAGGAAACAGAAATAAAACGTGTCATGTGTGCCTGCGTGTGCGTGTGTGTGTGTTGCAGGGTCTGGTTGAGGGTTTCTTCGGGGTCCTGGTTGTGTTCCACTTCTTGCAGCTGGCTGTTTCGCTAACAGTCATAGTGTTTGCCTCCTTAGCTACCTGTGAATGTACCTGTAAGGAACAGGTGAGTTCAACAGACCCATTCATCATTGACTGTATATGCATATGGACGATGCACCTCCGTCTACTCCCGTTGTACAAACGTGAAGCCAAAAACCCCTCATTAAAACAAACACTGTGACAAATCAGCGTGATAAGAATTATTAAGACAGAAACCACGTTTGAGAATTCTGATTTTCATACTTTGACCCATATCCCACCTGTGGCTCCTTTCCCGCATGTCATTCCCGACTCTCTCCCTGATTTCTGAATCTATCGACTGTACTGTTTCTCAATTAAAGGCACAAAAAGCCCTAAAAATACACTGTGTAAATACATATACTGTATATACAGTCCCATGGATATTAACTGTAACAAACACTGACATAGATAATGTTGATGTGATGTTCTCTCTTTTTTTTGTATTGAAGCTTTTAACTGTCTTTGTCACACCTGGAAGTACATCAATGGTGCACAAGCTCCGCCCCCTTCCTATTCACCACCTGCCCCCTCTGATAAGCCCGTCACCCTACAGAGTGAGTTGTCCCCGAGATGCAGGAGTCGTCTGCATTTGTTGTCAACTAAAAAAAAAAAATTACTCAATATTGGGTATCAAGAACTTCTATTTTTGTTGTCAGATGTTTTACTTTTACTGGAATCATATCAAAGGTATCATCATGACAACTGTAAAGGCCCTGACTCACCAAGGAGACCGTCGGTTCTGGTGAGCGGTCGTTGCCCTAGTTTTTTGCTCTGTCGCTGCCTGTCGGCCCCAGTTGGCCTTTTTTGGCCAATTCCACATGTTTAGCCGGCGCGGTTTGGGTTAGGAATCTCTCTGATTGGCTGTGTCAGCTAAACGAAACAGGAGAGCCAGTGCACAGGAAGAAATACGGAAGCGCCTCTTCTATCCTTGTTCCACTAATAAAAGACCAAGAGCTGACACCGCCAGCGCCATCTTCACCTTTTCATCAGACGTTATTCTCCAGTAGAACTTCCTGTGTTACGAGTGTTGAGCGACAGCGGTGAGAAAATTGTCTTCTCGTATCTCAACAACGGTTTATTTATCCGCGTTCTTCTTCGTCCTCTTCTGGTTTCCCCTTTTTGGAATGACGATTACAGACTACGCCCCCTGCTGGCATGGAGAGTTATTGCCTCTCTCGCGTGCGCAGGATGTATGTGGTGGTTGGTCGTCGGCTTTAGTCTTGCGTGTGTTGAAGTGTCAATTTTTGGGCAAGACAAAAGGCATCGCCTGCCAACGACACAGGCGATGCCTTTGTCGCCACTATTTCTTTGCCGTCTGCTCGGTGTGTCAGGGACTTAAGAGAGAGCAGACTGTATCTCTGTTCACGCCATTGACACGCTAACGAAACACCAATAAAGATTATAGTAGACATTCCATCCATCCATTATCTTTACCGCTTTTACTGTGCCAATCCCAGCTCCTGGATTGGTCTGGTCACCAGCCAATCACAGGGCTGACATATAGACAAACAACCAGCCACACTCACATTCACACCTACGGACAATTTAGAGTCAACAGTTAACCTAACGAGCATGTCTTTGGACTGTGGGAGGAAGCTGGAGTACCCGGAGAGAACCCACATATTCACAGGGAGAACATGCAGACTCCACACACAGAGCGGCAGACAACAGTCTGTTGATGACGGCTGGATGTTTGACCTCCTACTATGTCTGGATGATGAGCTCAATGATAATGACGGCCCTGCTATCACAGCGAGGAGGATGTGGGTACAAGTCATAGTTGGCACCATGTGGACACAAGACCTGACCAGACAAGAAGCTGGACTGGATTCAATATTTGAAAGGCTTTTACAGAGGGCTGCAAGCCTGACGCCGAGCTGGTTATGTCGGTACACTGTGTTTAAAGGGGATATAGTCTGAAAAAATCCACTTGTACAGTGTTTTTAACATATATTTGGGTAACCTGAGTGACCCACAAAATGTGAAATAAATCCATCCAGTCCTTTGTTTGTGGTCTGCATAAGTCTTACAACACAGAGAAAAATGCTCAGTTTCTAATGTGCTCTCCTTGTGATGTCACAGTGGGATTCTGGTAAAAATAAATACCCTACCCTCCCCTGGTGTCTCCACCCATGGACTCCACCCCCAGACTAGAACAAAACTTTTGAGCAGGTCCGTCATTTTTTATTCTCGCTTGCGAAGGAGTGACGTCTACTCAGGGGGGGCTCATTGCATTTAAAGAGACACACACACCAAAACGGAGCGTTCTGAGAGAGCTGGTTTATACAGGGTCACAAACCTCCTCTGGTGCTTGATTTATGTTATATTTTGACCAAAGCACAGCACAGATGTTTCATTTAGACCACAGGGGACTGTTTGAAAAGGAGAAGGGGGATGAAATGTCCTCTTTAAAACAGTGCAGTTGCACTCAGAGACCTTCAGTGGGCCCCAAAGCGCACCAAACCGAATCCCTCCAAACAATGTTTCTCTGTGTGTTTCTCCAGCTTTGTTCTCCTTGTTTGTGTCTTTTGTGTTCGTACATTAACATCCATATAATGGTTTTAACTGTGCTCTGTTGTTTTTCAGATGCAGAGCTAAACCAGCAGAGGGAGGAAGAAAGTCTGAGCCCACGGTTTAATCAGCTGAAGAGACGCCCGCTCTTAAAGCACGATATTAATAACTCGTCATATTCACCGGTTTTGAATCGCGTCCGATCCCTGAATTATATCCACTCCTAAACTCACCTGCTGCGCTTTCATTGGCTGGGGAAACACACCAGCTCCGCCCAGAAACGTCCAGAGTCAACCAGAACAAAGCAGAACAGTAAAATCCAGTCAGAGGACAGAGTCTCTGCAGACACAGTCACCATCAGACATGTATGGAGGCCCAGAAGGGACGATGGAGCAACTTCACTTTAGGAGAAGTCTGTATTTTATTTTGAAGGAGGAAGCTGCTGACTTCATCTTTAATGACAAGTGAATATACTGTAAACATGATTAAAACCTG